TGATCATGATGAACGTGTGTGTGTGTGTGTGTGTGTGTGTGTGTGTGTACTGTGTACTTGCAACTTTTTTATCATTAGGATGAGAATGTGTGGGCCAGGAAAGTGCATCTGTGGCCTCTTGGTAGTGGCCCTTCCTTAGGAGGTGAAGGATCAGAGAACTGTACAGACGGTAGTTGAGATCAAAATGAAGGCACGTTCAAAGATGGGTGTGGTCCATGCAAGGGCGCCAGAAGTACAGGGATAGGAAGTAGTGAAGGGGCCATTGCCCCCCCCGCTTTACACCCCTGGCTCACCTTCGTTTAAATTGTGGATCAATGTATTCCAGTTTGATTATTCCCGTCCACTCTAAGACTTCACTGTGTCAGTCTTTGTGTGGGTGTGTTTGTGTCATCTTGGCAAAGTGTGGTCCTGGAGACACTTAAGCACGAACAACCACAGAGGTGGTTTTTATGCATTGGCAAGTCTTTACATGTCTGTCTGTAGACAGATTTTGTCAGCGCATCACAACATTGCAAGATGCAGTCACATACTTTTAACATTTGTGTAGTTGAGATTAAAATAAAGGGCGAGTTCGAAGGTGGGTGTAGTCCAACATATGAGTACTCAATACTCATGTAATAATGTAGTAATGAATACCTAGTACTATTGAGTCAGAACATCTCAGCTGGTTTGATCCAATTGCAAGATGGTCTATAGTTTTAAACTGTGTTAGCTGTAATCTGGTATCTGGTCATGGGTCTCTCGCTAATGTCAAGGCTTGGCTTGGCTTGGCTTAGTGTGACTTAGCACAGCAACCCAGCGCATCAGGAATTTGCATCTCATTACGACACCCGCTTGAAGGTGTGTCTTTAAAGGCAGAGAGACCAGCGGTAGTCGAGTGACATACAGAATAAATGAAGAGAGGGAGCAGCATTAGCGAGAATAAAGCAGTGAATCCGAGAAATAAAGAATATTTTCTGATTGTTTCATGACAATCTAAAGCACAAATAAACACAGCCACGCCTCTGCACAACCCTGCAGAAGGTGCCATATTGCTGGATTTTGTGCGAATTCAGCCGAAGGGCTTTGTCCTCCTGTCCCTCTCTGCTCTCCTTGTGTATGTGTAGCTCAGCCCTGCCCTCAGTCAGCCGATGGGGGATGACATGCAGCTGTGAGATGAAGTCAAGCAATTCTCTGGTCACAGAATATTAGACATATTTACCATATCCTGTTCACCCATTATATATAAATATAGGTTAAGTATTTTTTTCTTCTTTAGAACAATGAGTGCTTTTTCCATGGGAACTGGTTCTCATGTGCCACTACAGTCAAAGGACATTCGTAACAACTCTTTATACATCCCCTACGATGAAGACCATCTGACATCACCGCATTTTGGCCATCACATCAGTGGTTGCACCACTAAAACCTAACCGAATTGGTTAGGCTGACCTTTCAGAGTTAACATTTTGAGAGGGGCAAAGAGTGCAGGCACACTGTAGACCCACTGTAGTTAGCTACCTGGACTAGGACACTTGAATCGGTTTACGTATCTTTGTAAATAAGTATGTGCCATTTTGCAGACTGTCCTATGTCGGCAAATATGTATGTTTTGTGTTTGTGAGATATGCAGACAAGGAAAGTGCTAATGTGAATACATCATTTATGTTAAATGTGATTGACCACAGATGCCCATTGACAAGATTGACAACATGTAGGTATGTCAGACTACAATGGTCACAGGTGTGGTGTGGTGCAAAGGGTAAATGCCTCAATTACAGATATCAGTAATACACAGGAAATCATGGGGAAAGATACAATGGACCTAATCAACTTACTCAGGTCCAACCATACTCAGAATGTAATTACAATTAAGGAACTGCTAGCTGTAACTGTGTGTAGTTGTTTTTGTATTTTGGGACATACATTTTGCAATCTGTCGAAGTCTACAAGACTCAGTGGAATTGGATGTCTGCGTGCAGCCTAAAATATATGAACGATGAGTTGACTGTATCACAGACTGATCACATCTGCCTACTTATTTAGTGTATCTTTATCTGAGGTGTCCTTACGTACAATTTTAACGATATTAACAAACAGCTCCCAGCCAATCTGAAGTCTGAATGCATGATTAATGAAGACTACTGTTATACTTAAGGAAGCATAACCTTTCTTTTCAAAGTAAGCATGTTTGAACTCTTAACTGAAGGAGCAGGATGCAATGGAAAAATCTGTTAGGCCTACTAACATATTCTTTAGAACATGACAAGAAAACATGGTGTCACTTACCGGAAATGTTCTGGTCAATAAAAGACCAGTGTGTAGGATTTAGGCCTCTAGCGGTGTAGTTGCAGATTGCAACTCCCTTGCTTCACCCTGCCTAATCGAAGCAACAAAAAAGGAAACTGCGGTGGCCGCAAAATGTGTGGAACGCCGGCAAAAAACACGTATGGCCCTCATTCCTAGAGCCAGTGTTTTGTCTGTCCATTCCCGGGCTCTCTAGAAACATGGCGGCCTCCATGCAGGCAACCTGCTCACTCTAGGGTAACAAAAATATAACAATTCTTATTTTCTGGTTATTATACATTAATGAAACATAGTTATGGATTTTATATTTCCTGTCTGCCAGTAGATCCTTCTAAATGTTACACTCTGGACCTTAAATTCTGGTCTGATCCTCTAAACAAATCTTTTCTTAGCCTTTTTCAGGATTAACACTGACCAGCTATCCTCACAGTGGTTCTATTGTCTCTAATTGATGACAGGATTGTATGTGTGTGTGTGTGTGGTGACTTCTCTAAGGTCAAATCCAGATTGCCCTCTATTAATATTTGGGTCTTGGTCTCCTCACCTTATCAGCAATCTAGAAGTGTTCCCAACCAGTCATATAATCTGTATATGCACTCACAGTTGGCCAATGCTGATTGCAATGACCAACAACTGATTGGCAAGACTACATGATTACTGACAGAGCAGTTGACACCAAAACCCAATAATATAAAAAGCAACTTGGAATTTTCAATTCAATTTTATTTGTATAGCACCAAATCATAATATACCCAACAATTCCCAATTAATGACAGCATATGCTGAATAGAGATACAGGCACCCACTATATGAGTCATGCTCATCATGGACCTGTCATATGAAGGAGACCCTATGAAGAGAGTCTTGTTGAGAAGGATAAGTTAGTCTATAATCCTCTAGGTGTTTTGAAAACTGTCAGATGTGCTATATAAAGTAGAACAAGCACCGAATCTGGCTTGCAGCAGTTAATAACAGTGATGTCTAAGCGGGTATGGCCAGGAATTAAAAGGAAGGAAGGAAGGAAGGAAGGAAAAGCTAAGCAAAATCATACTAGTCTGCCCTCTGGAGTAAGAAATGTCTGTAAGTAACAGGTGGTAAACACAATAAAAAGCAAACAGAAAGGCATTAGAGACAATTCTAATGCATTTTATCCTATGTCCCATGCTGCCACATAGTGCATGTTGCCATAGGGATCAGATGACTGTGCCACAGAGTGAGGATTTGTATATAGGATATGTGCCTCATACCAACAGGGATACCCTACACTATTGGTGCTGTCTACCCAAGCACGAACATTTGGAAAAATAAATAGCAGTAAAAACTTCTATACACTGCACATCCTTGTCTAAGAAGTGCAGCACCCATTCAGTCCATTGCTTTGCCGATTTGCACAGAAGGTAAGAGTATGTCTGCATAAAGTTAGGTCCAAGACATTTTAAAGACATTTAAACACTTTCTTCTCTAAACAGTACTGGGGCCATTTAGTAAGAGAGATTATCAAATTTTGGAAAAAAAAACACATTTTGAATATTTCTTACCTAGACAAGAATTATAGGCCAACTAGAGGAAGTACTGGATGCTAAGTGTTCACTACTTCTCTTTTTCCTCAAAAGCAGCAGTTAGTTAACCAGTCAGTCAGTCAGTCTGTTCTTTCCATGGCCAAATTGCCATAAAATTTGTCATGGGTTTTGTTGCCAGAGGATGTTTACAGATGATTCTGTGATAACCACCTTGATTTTGGTTTCTCAAACTGATCCCTGGTTTTGTAGGTGCTGTAATTCCTTGAAGTTAAGCCATATTCTAGGGCTATCTAGTGCTAAAGTCTCTCTAGAGATGTTCCATAATGCACTGTGCAAGTGATAAGCCCGTACCAGGCAAGTATTATGTATATGGATAGTGTGATCTAAGATGGTGCTCATTCATTCTAACGATAGTTGTTCACTTATTGCATGTAACATTTTTTTTCTTTTTGGCTTCCACATTGTACAGCCCACAACATGCATTTTATTATCTCTATTAAAAAGGGCATATGTGTAGGATTTAGTGACATCTAGCGGTGAAGTTTCAGATTGCAACTAACTGAACATTGCTCGAGTGAGCTGTGAAGTGTACTTCTGTGGCCGTAAAACTGGCAATAAATCATGGTTTGAACAAACAGAAATACAGAGGCTAATAACTGACCTTGTGTGCGGTTTGAAATGTTGCGTTTATAAAATATAAAAATATATAACAAGTGACAGAAAGGCTGACTCTGCTACTACTGTTCCATTGCTGTTTTTAGGAATACTTAAGATTTTAAGGTAGAAAGGGCACCTGGTTAGTTCAGTGGGTAGAGCTGGCGACCCACGTACCAAGGCTGAGTCCTTGCTGCAGCGGCCAGGGTTCGATCCGACCTGCGGCCCTTTGCTGCTGTGTCATCCCCTCTCTCTAACCCCCCTTTCCTGTCTATCCTCCAGCTGTCCTATCAAACTAAAGCATAAAAGCTCGAAAAAAAAAATATACTTAAAAAAAGAAAAGAAAGGGCACTCAAGATGAAGCTGTGCACTAGTATGGACATATGCAACTTAAGTACTCCCACCTTTTTCCACAGTTACGCATTACCTGCTTACATGTCATTGGATATACTATTTGGATAATCCCTCTACAAGTCAATTGGTTATAATTTCAGATAAACAGTATGGTAGCTCATAAACTCTCAGGTAGCAGTGTCCATTGCTGCCTACCACAGTGATTTTTTGATAATACCACTAGGAGTCACCAAGATATTTCCAATAGGGGCTGCAAAAACCAGTACTAAACCAATCACAGGTATGGTTTCTTACAAACTGCACCCAAGGGTCACAAAGATACAAGAATTAATCCACGAGTGACTCCTCATTTAGTCCACTCAACTGGACCACTTCCTCTGTGCAGTTGGGGATTTCTTACTGCAAAATAGCAGCAAAAAGGAAGCCAAAGCAAAACAGAAAGTCACTTCTCTGTACAATTTTAATGACAATTAAAAAGCTATTCAGTGACAATGCTATCCTTTCAAAGGGAAGATATACACATACCACATATTGAAGAAAATGTCAGAATCACAGAAGTAAAACATGAAAATGCAGCAATATGATTGACAATAACAGCATGGGTAGCCACAAAAAATACAAAGCTAGCTAGCCAGCAAGTTAACTAAACCGTAGCTTATGGGAGAATATGAGGTTTAAACTTGCATTTTATGCATGTCAGATGTATGTTGAAGTAATTCTCCATTTATTTTTTATTTAATTCAAAAGTCATTTGGTATGCTCACCATCCTTGGTTCCAATTAGTTTAGGGAATTCACCAATAAACAGATTTGTTTCTCATCATGCCAAAGAAATAAAGTGTATAAAAGTAGTTATGCAAAATAACCATTACAAATTTTACATCAATAATCTATACAGTTATTCAAATATTTGCATTCAAAAGGATCAAAAACACTCAACTCCTGAGAGCTTTTTTGTTGGCAATAGCAATAACTAATGGGTCTGACATGATAGTTACCCGTTGTTTTCTGAGCCATGAGAAGTTTGGTGCTGAAGAAACGTCTCCAAGCATGAGAATGTCTCAGTGCACTCAGTGCATTCGTAAAGAACCTCTGTAGAATTCCGTTTATCATTTTTAGTATGGTCCATATAGTCATCCTCAATGTCCTCTGTACTACCCTTTACTAGGGCAGTATCCCCACTGGAACCAGTCCTGTGACACATTTGTCCAACATCACCTGCTTCTCCAGTGCTTGGGTGATTTTGAAGGTGGAGCTCAAGGGATGAAGAATTCTTGAACTGAGCTGGACACCTGGGGCAGTTACTAGGTTCCTTTTTGTGATAGCGCAGGTGCCGTTGGTACACACATAACAGCCCAAATCTCTTTCCACATTCCTGACACTTGTAGTTAACTCGGCCCGCTTTTCCAGATTGTTTCCCCTTTGGCTGTTCCTCTGGTGATGCTGTTTGTTCATTGTCAGATGAGCTCTTGGTTTTCTCGTCAGGAGATAATGCATTTTTCTCACCATTGAGAGAATTGGGGACAGGGCCATTTTGTGGAGTTGTGTACAAGTGTTTCAAACCTGGTTTCTTTTCTAATTCAGCTTTGTGGTACATGGCTACATGCCTTCTCATATCACAGCGCTGTGGAAAATGTCTACCACAAAATACGCATGTATGCATAGTACCCTTATGGTATCTCATATGCCGAGATAAACTACTAGAATGATTAAAGACACGGTGACAGTGCTTGCAAGGATGCAGCTTGCCATTTGGATTACCCCCTCTTCTACGTCTGCCTTTAGGTTGTATTCTTCGCTTAAAGGCTTTTTGTGATTCTTGATTCAGCTGATCTATTTCCTCCTGAGTTTGATGTGTGAGATGATGCTCCTTCAGAGCTGTTAACTTTTGGAAACGATCACCACATAAACCACATCTGTATGGTGTGAAAGAGTATTCGGCATCAATCTCACCACTAATATCTCTAGAGATTTTACTTTCTCCATTTAAAACATCAACAGATGTGCCATTGCTGTAGCAGTTTTCAAGTGGTGTGTCTATGTTCTTAGAGTTCACTTGAATTTCAATTTCGTGTGCAAAAGTAGCATCAAGCTCTTTTCCTTTGCAATGGTACAGTGAATGTGCCTGAAAATCTGACATCCAAAAGAAATTCAACTTGCACTTCCTACAAGGATATGTTTTCTCAAACTTTTTTTCCTGCTTATTCTCAGATTTACCCAACGCTGTTGTTTTTGGGGAGAGGTGCATTTCTTTTTTATGAGCATTCAGTGCATCCACTTTAAGGAATCGCTTTCCACAATAACCACAGCAGTGAAAGCTTTCATTGGCATGGTCTTGGAGGTGTTTCTTAAGCTCCTGTCTACCTTCAAAGATCTTACAGCACAACGTACACTTGTAACCTCGCTCTGTGTTTCGATACTGTTGGTGGCGATGTAAACTCTGCAGGCTGTTAAATGATCTGCTACATATTTCACAACGGTAATGGCCCTGACGAGACTTGACTGACTCCAAATTCAAGTCTGTTGGCCTTGGCCTGAACACATCTCTAAAAGGAGAGCCCTGTGGCCTTAGAGTTGGAGACACTGGTTTGATAGAGGATGGGAAATGTGATGGCAGGACTCCAGGAGACACTGGTTTTACAGATGAATGGGACTGCACCAAGCCATTCACAACTGTCAGCGTACCATTTTCTTGTAGCACATATTCTCGAGGGACTTCAAATCCATTGGATGAGCCATCAAAGGAAAATGACTCCAAAGGTCCATGAATAGCCATGTGGGCCAACACATTAGAGTACTGGCTGAACCCATCACCACACTCAGTGCAGATGAAGGTACTTGATTCTCCACCCAACTGTGTTGAAGCAACGGTATTCATTGATTTCGGCTTTTCCATGATGAAATTATTTTGTCCATGTGCTGATGGCATCACTTTTCAATCTACAAGTATGATTAAAAACTTCATCCAGACACCCAAAAAGTTGGTTGGGGGAATCATTCCACTCTCTCAACAGACTGGTCCTAAAAAGATGTCCTTCTGAGCTGAATGTTCACCCCTCTGCTGAGGTTTTCCATGTTGTATCAGCACCTGGGGGATAAAAGAAATTATCATCATCAAACCACTGAAGCCTAAGTTTGTTTATCAAAATATTGATAACATAACATTAAGTCTTAAGCAACCATTGCCTTCTACCATGAGCATGCATGCCTTTTTCTCTTGTAATCCTAGTGCACCAGTGACTGTGCTTTCAACCACCTATTCAGTTTATGACATCTTAGAGCAGAAACATGTCCCTTACATCAGTTTCCCCACTTACTCTTCTACTTATTCACAGGTCTTGAATTCTCTTCCAAATTCCAGTCCTCCTCACGTTGGGTCATAGTAACTTGCCTGACCATGCCAAACTGGTCGGTATTTTAATTTAGCAAAAAAGAGAGCACTTGGATAGGTACTCGGTGTCAGCAGATACCCTAAATTGATGTACCAGGATCGGAAGAAAAAGGATCATTGCATCCCTACTGATCACAGGCTTGGCTAGGAAAATCTACGGAATCTGCCACTGTACAGTATGATGGGGTATCATTCATTTGCTATATAACTAGGTACTCCAGACACCAGATCAAAGTAGGGGAGGGAAGTCTAATGTCCAGGAGCTATTCATCATTCCATTACACACTGTTAGACAGGCCATGGTGTCTAGACCAAGTACATTAGGGCAGGTCTGCAAATGCCACTTCGTTCTCTAAATATAAAACTGGATTAATAACCGTCTTGGAGTTTAGCTAGGCTGTATTGATTACTTAAACTCATTTTGGAATTGCTTACCACCAATGTCCCAAAAGCACATGTTTTTTGATGATTACAGTCATCTGGTTGATCAGTATCGAGACAGCCCACAGGGAAGAGGCTTAACTGAGCAGGTTTGTATGTTGCAGAGTCCAACTATTGGTGCCCATTGGTCCTGCCTGTTGTTTAAAACTTGATGCAGGTTTTGATATCTCCCCCAGAGAATACAGAGAAATTATCCCGGGGTTAAACTAATGTAAGGTTAAAATTTGCTTTGCATTTGGTGTAAACACAGCATAAGACAATCAACTCACTTAATCAGTGTCACCAGCTTAACAATGCCTGCGCTTCTTCAAGAGCTTGAGGAAAAATCATTCTGTACAATTTTTAAAACGTTCTTACTATCATCACAATTCAGTAAAAAAACAACAAAAAAACAACAATGTGGGAAAACAGCCAGAATAAACTGGTTAGAGGAGCAGCAGCGGGTCACATTGCAAGCTCAAACAAGCACACCATAAACATGTCATCAAAGTATCCAACTTCTTTAACTTTACCTTGCTGGAAAACCATGCTGTGCCACTACATCTTCAATGGTTGTAGCTCAGAGTAACTACCATACCAAACCCCTAGCGCAAAAGGCATTATTCTGTCCATTAGATCTAAGAAAGGGTCAAGCTAAAACATGGTGTTAACCCGCTTTAAAAACAGTGCAAATGTATCCCTGTGAGTGCTCTACCATCCACAAAGGATATTAGCAGTGATAGGTACCTTTCTTCTGCATTACCAGACTCCAACAGGCCCAAGTCTCTCATGCCCCTTTCTGAACAATATAGTGATCAAACTGATCATCTAAATGGGTCAACATGACACCACAACCAAAACCTGGGTTGAATGCAAGGTTAGAACCTGCCTGTCTAGTAAATACACATTTCTGTGAGGAGGTATTCCATTGAATCATGACATTTTAAAAATTGATGTAACCAAATACTAGGGGACTACCCGGGACTAAAGTATCAGGATTTCTGCAAGCTGGAGCTTTTCTCTTGTAATGCAGGGAGTCACTTACTGGTGCACTGCTGCATATGCTAACTCTACTGGCTGCTGCCATTAGCTGAATCTAACCGGACTGGGAGCTTGAAGGATGGGACCACTACTAGCTTCAACAGAGGCCAGCTGACTTCCAGCGGCTCTGACCAGGACTTTGACTCTGGGGATAAAGACACGTAAGTACCTGTTAAGGTTGTACATCATCCATCATATCAATAACTCTGCCAGTATTTGTTTTTGTGAAGTTGGAAGTTATTTATTCTGTGTTTTGAACAATGATACTTCTGTGATGTTGTACTTTGTTGAAATAAATGAACCAAATGTTCAGTCTCCCTGCTGGTTCTTCTGACACATTCAGAATCACACACATTTTCCATTCTTATTTAGGCCACTGTTAAAATACATATATTTAAATTAATATCACAAAGGTGGGACAACTAGTCGACCATTGGCTTTATCAAATGACTACTAGTCGACTAGGAAAATCTTTAGTCCAGGACAGCCTACAGTTTGTTCAAGTCACAGTGAGTAAGGACATCTAGACTCTGTAATGCAAGACCCAAAGCTGGAAAGGCCAACACGTCTAACCCGAAGAAACTCTTGATCAAACATAAAACATATCTGAAAGCTGAAGAGTGTACCATTACCATGTTTGATAGCCTAAAGCCAAGTCCCCCACAGCAGCTGCAGCTAGCAGCTAGCGCCAGTGTTGAACCCTCCATGTACAAAAAAAAACTTCAAGCTTGGTAATCAATTAGCTACCTGGATAAGTTGCTGCTGGAGATAACTGGGTGGTTTTTCACTCTTGGTTGACATTAGCTTAGCGCTTTACTTGTGGTAACCACAGGACTGTCAACTCACGCATTGGCCGTAAGACTCTTTAGCAATTGAAACTTTTCACAGGCTCTCACGCCACATGTCCTCCTCCTGTCCACACATTTGTCTACTGACAATATCTGAAGGACTAGGCTACATTACCCTCTTAGGTGTATATCTTTGAATTGACTTATTTAACTACTTAACTGCTTAAATTACCTTTTCTCTTTAGTAATGTTACTCTTTTCCACACAAGCCACACACACACCTAATCTGGTCTGTGTCTCACACACACAGACCACCGGCTTGCTCTGGCCAGCCTCTCTCTGTATCTCTCTTTCTCTGTGTGTGTCTGTTGACTTCCTTCAGCAGTAACTTTTAGAAAGT